ACTTCAAGATCTTCCTTAATTGTATATGTATCCTGAGGTTTGTCTGGGCTCAGGTGGTGTCAACAAAGCGCTAACAATGTTTGTTCTTGCGTGTTTTGCACGTCTCGACTTTATCATGCATTCAAAGATTATGGTGTTTTGTGTCAAATTCACCATAAGTCTGAGCTTTCTAAATTGTTTCTTTAAAAAAAAAAACATTTTCTAGGGTGTCTCTGCGATTGTTGCCTTTCACCGATTCGCCTTGCATCAGATCAAAGTGGCAATGCATTTTATATATATATTTTTTTGTAGTTTCGATTGGCGTTTGAAGAAGTATTTGCTCCAGTTGAAAACGAAACGGCCGAGTTGTTAATAGACTATTGTGCACCGAAAATAACTCGATAAAAAAACGAAACATAAAAAGAACAAAAGGTGACTCGATTGGTGAGCGCGCGTTTCTATTTGGAAAGGTAGCAACTGTGTTAATTAAGCCTTGAATTTGTTGTTCTTGAAATTCGGCGGTTTCGGCTGGCACGTCCACGCGTACCATTAATAACCGGAAGTTTGATTGGGTTTTAATGAAAATTTAAGCGGCGGATTAGTTTTCAGCAGTTTCGAAGCGAGAGGAGAAGCCGCAAATTAAGGAACATCGTGCGACATGGAGATTGAGTAACAATTGGATCTAAATGGGTTTTCGTTCTTTTCGCGCTGGACTCCCCCTGGGAAGAAGTTGCAATTAAGAGAGGGGTTAGAGTAGAAGGCTGAAGGATGTGAGATTAATTGTTTTTGCGTGTGCAACGGAATTGAATTGCCGACGAGGATGGCGTTCGAGTGGCTGAAAGCTGAAAGCCATTGTGCGTTATGATTATGCCACTTCGGGCTGAAAAATGATATTCCCGGAACGGAATCTATCGGAGGGCTGGAAGGAGCGTTTCGACTGTTCGCATATTTTTTTTTAATCTCCTCTTTTCCTTCTATCCTTCGTCTTTGGCATCGACTACGGCTGCATTTCGTTAGGAACGTCCGTTTCCGGCATGCCGAAGAGAGAGTAAGTAATGCGGACCTGAATACACAATAGATAGGTTTATGCATCGACGTTGCATTAAAGTGAAGTAAACCGGTTGCTGACCTTCAAACAGACGAACACTTCTTCTTCTACTCCTCTTCCTCCGTCGTAGTCTTCCTCAGAGAGTAAAGAAAGGTAAACACACGGACATAATAATTCCATTTATATTTTCATACCGGCGCGGAATTGCCTTGAAACTATTCGCCTCTGTAGGCAGACGTGGTCGTAGCAACGGACTCCTCCAAACGTACATTTTTCCTGTCCTCTCCTTTTAGGTTGCTTTGCTTTGCTTTGCTTTTAAATTCCCCAACTATGGAAATTGAAATAACTCTGACTCTGCAGCAACGAATTATTCATTCGTCTCCACACACACACACACAAAAAAAAATCGCGAAGAAACCGCCTCGAAAATGCGGTGCAATTCACGCACCTGTTCAATAATGGAATTTTCCATCACCAAAGGCGCGATAATTGATAATTAATTAGCGCCGTCCGACGCCGCGCGTGCACAACGCTCCTGGCGATCCATTTCAAATATATTCCCATCATAGTAATTCAATTGAAATTCATACATCTGTTGGACACAATATGGGAATTCTGTTAGTAAACAAAAAAATTAACATTGTCTACTAATATCAAGCATTTTCAAATTGTGCAAAAATAGTTCTGTTAAAAATTTAGAAATTTTATAAAATTACTAGTTATGAGGTTTATACTTTTGGAGTTAAAAAAAACTGTTTCTAGATTTGATTTAAGCAGTGTGTGAATCTGGATTGCAGAGGATGTTGAAGAATTCAGGTCGATCAATGGTTCTCCCCCAAATGACACATTCTTTGCGTGTCACCCAGAAACACAAAAATCAATTACGCGCCGCGGATTAGTTTGGAAAATTTAATTCCTCCACTTTTAATCTAAATGCCATTAACAGTTTTCAATCGGAAATTGCACTGCTCTGCAATTATCAGGGAAAAGGACTTTCTGTCTATGGCTCCCTCCTCTCTCACATACACACACACATTCGAGCCTCTCGGCAAAGCGTTTTATATTTTTATACTCCTTCGAAATTACTCCATTTCGAAAGTGCATGCGTTCGAGTGAGAGGGAGAGGAAGGGAACCGGAGTGCAGCGAACTTTTTAAAAAGTCGAGGGAAAAATACTATTAATGTTGCGAATAATTGGATTCCGGAAAGGAAACCGGGGCAAGGCCCCAATTCGAACAGTTTATACATAGGGTGGTTGTAGATGTTGGGTTGGGTTTTGGGGTTGAGGAGGTAAAAATTGTAAACCTCCCTTGTCCCACATGCGAGCCAACAACCCCACAACAATGGCATAATTCCTGCCCCGACTCCGAAACTCCATTGCATAGTCCATTAACATTGACAAGAAACCTATTCCGATATTGCACAAGCTACTGCTAATTGTTGCGATCGTTTTGTGGGTGGGGAAGGAGAATTGAGTCGTTTCTAGGGATGGAATCGATGCGATGGACCATTCATCCTTTGAAGTTGAAAATTAATATTTGCCTCGAAGAACGAATCGCGTTCAGCGGAGTATCCTTGCCCGAAGGGTCGTGCATATTGCATTTGGCTTCGCCCCAGTATAAATAAACACGCGGAATAATCAATTAATTAAACACCGAGCATTACGGCATTATCGGTCTCCACTATAAACAAGGCACTAACCGCTTAACACAACAGCGAAATTAATATTATAGATTAAATATTAATTGGTACGTAGTGCTCCACTTCGGCCCAAGTTAATGCACTGGATTCCATAAATTCAATTATTCCTACCGGGCATTATCTGAAGATTATGAAACTATCCTTTATTAAAATGTTGCTGCGAATCATCGGTGCTTCCATTACATCGTATCAACTATCACTAATCAATAGCCTTTGCTGTCAAACAAATCCGGCTTTCATTAAAATATTTTTTTACAAAATAATCCCATTGAAAACATACAAAACAGGTAGAAAGGATTAACAAACATATGTATATTTTTTTAACAAAATTTGTCTATTTTTAATACAATTCTATAAACAAAGTTAATTAACAAAAGGACTTAATTTGATAGGTTAATGAGTACTGAAATCTTTGCTGGATAATAATGATGTTGTTTATTCATACTTGCTTTAAATATACTAGCGTGGGACAGAATGAAAGTTAAAGCGCTGCGAACACCTTTAGTTTTCGGTGAATATTCAAGCAAAACTGGAGTTAAGCTCGGAAAGTACCTTGTTCTGCGATATTAATGGAGGGTTTACGTGAATAAATACGGCGATCACAATTTCAGACGTGCAGCTTTGATTTACATGCAAATTGAGATCTAACACAATTTCGCACGTCGCTGAGCCGTGCAACATTTGTCAAACGCGAATTGTTTGTTCGTGCATTTATCTTTCTTCCACATATTTTTTTTCTTTCTATTTTTATTATATTTAAGCCGTCGCATTTTGTTGCGACTATTATTTAACCATTGTGTGTAATTCAATTAGTTACAAAACCACAATTGCATTTAAAACAAATTTCAGTCCCTTACGTTTTTAGTAGATTCTATGAAACGTTTTACAAATCAAAGTTATCAAAAAAATTAGGATATTTTATACTAGTGATGAGTTAAAGTATTTATTGAGTGAGTTGAACGCAGTTGAAGAATCCAATTAGATTTTTTAACTGAAACGCAAATGAAGAGGAAAAAGAGAATTAATGTAAAGGGAAAACGAAAGCTCGCACATATGTGGATTGCGGTTCGAAATATTTACTTTAGTCTTGTTTATATTTGTCTATTGCCTCTATTTTCGAACGGAATTCTTTGGAATCCGCATTTGTAAACATAATTAGGCGGAGTGAAATATTTATACTGTGTTTTGTTATATTTATTTCGTTTGGTTTTTCGTTTTCGATCGAGAATCTCGTTGGATCGTCGGCGCGAATATTGCGTGCATCGAGGAATGCAGCTACCAAGTTCATGGTCTAAGTTGTCACCGTGCTTCACGATCTCAAACGTGAATTTGGGAAGAGTAAGTGTTGTTGTCCTAGCCTCGAGGCGATCTCTTAATTCGCCCGACAATGGGCATATTAGAAAAAGAGAACGACGTTTGAGTCTAAAATTGTTTGATACAAGACTACTTGGAAGTCATTAACCCTTTTCGAGGATCCAGGTAAAACGTATCCTTTGTGATTCCACAACAAAAGCTTATATGGACCCAGAAAACTCTTTTCCATACTGAATCTGGGAAGGCGGATGATGATACAAGAGAGATCAAGTATATACAAGTATAGTATTAAGGGGGCAGTAAAATGATTTTCCATTTGCTTCGATTCGTTATACGTTATAAAACCATTAACTGGTTAGGAACGTAATTAAGCGGATTGCCTTTAAAGCAGATGACGAGCTTAATTTGTAGTTTCTCCTTTTGGTTTCGTTCCTCGTCCTCTTCTTCTTCTGTCCCTCCATTTTCACTTCGAACGGCGAAGTCGCTTCATCAAATATTAATGTGAAAGGGCGAGTGAAATTTCATTTCGCTGATGCGACACGGCGGGGGTTTAATAAGGATCATTTTAAACACACATTAGGGTCAGCCGCGCTACAATACCTCGTCTATCTTTATACGAAATTAGTTTTATGAATACACTATAGGTTTTGTATCCAGGCTTATTACAATGAAGTCTGGAGGTGTAAAGAACTAATGTTTTAGTGCATTAAATAAGGATCACAATATTGTTCTATCACCATATATTTTTATCATTAAAAAAAATATAAATCAAAATCCTTATAGAAATAAAATAATTTATGATAAAAATTACTAATTACTTTATTATTGAATAAAGTGATCTATATTGTAAGAAATGTAATTACTTTGTGATTAAATTTCTATTAGAATTTTGTGACTAGGCTGATGTAAATTTTGTTGTTACACCCTTGGGGTGTATAAATAGAAAAAGTGTTGCTTACCTCTCCCAAATTATGAAAGCCATGGTCGACTGCCACGCGATCCGCGACCTCTTGTCCACCATCTACATGCAGTACCCATTGCTTGGTATAGTAGGCAGTAGTAGATTGAACCAGTATAGAGGTGGCACATAGGCATAACAGATAGATCTGCATCATCGCGTCCATAGTCCCAATAATTCCCGCACAATTTTACTCCACTCAGTTATTAAGTTCATAAAACTCATTAATTTTTATTAAATGTCTGCTGGCGTTTAATAAAACATCCTTCATGTACCTAAGGTACATTTAGTGTAATTGCCTCCTCGCTACTTGCGGTCCTTATCCTCTCTCGTCGCTTTATATCCTTCTTCTTCTCTTACTGTATGCACCTGAAACGACGGAACCAGAAACAAAACATATACATTTATATACATACAGAACTACATTTAAACAATTACACCCGAATCCACGCCCAATAGTGAAAAATAAAATAAAATGAAACAAAGAAAACAAGAATACACGAGTCAGCAACAAACGCGGAAATGCAACACTTGGACCCATTACATATCATGCATACTGCGAAACCTGTCCTGGCAGCCTTGACAATTGAAATCGAAACATTTTCATTATTGGAAATAATAGGAAAGCTGTCCGACTGTCGTCTTCCATTCCCTGTTAACAATGATACCGAGTCGCGACTCACCTCAAAATCAATTACACATCGCTACAACGCATTGATTTTCTTTAATTAACTTTAATTAACACAAAACCATTCATTTACAAATAATATTTATATTATTTTTTTGCAAATATTCCTTACTTTTATTTCAATAACACAACGAATTTATAAAGCAATTTATTTTTGTAATTTCTTTAATTAACTTTTATGAAAGTACTTAATTTTTCGGTAAATGTTTCATATAACACAAGTAATAATTAATTAATAGATAAATAAATTAATAAATTTCGATACTTATTTTTACAAATTCTGTTGATCCATTTATTGATCAATGGAATTTGGTTACAATTTGTATAATATCATATTCTTGTTGAAATCTGTAATTCTTATGTTTACATTATTGAATTGTGCATTGGCATGTCCTTGCTCTATATTATTCCATTACCAGTATAAATAAAAAAAACTCGTTATAAGATCAATGTATGTAAATGGCAAGGTCCAGGAATGAATAGACTTTTGCACTATTTGCCTTGCAGATCGATTAGAAACTTTGTTCATGTTCAATAATATCGTTATTTTTTAATAAAACTTGTTTTTGTTGCATCACTTTATATATGATCACGAACATTGAATAAATACTAAATAAAAATTACGTGTACCGAAAAATTTCGCAATACTGAAATTAAATATTTACAATATTCACTCTTACTTTTATCGATTTTTTAACGAAGTCGTGAATATGTAATATCAATTTCGTTTACACTAAACAACAGAAATAACAAGAAAGAAAAAAAAGGAATATGAGCCTTCAAAACTTCGTTATTCATCAGCGATCGGATACTCAATCCTCTTAGAAATTATAAACTTACATCATTACTACGAAAACAGCGAAACAAACGACGGCATTCACTTTCCAACAGTGTAGTAATTTAATTAAATAATTTCATCAAAAAAACGTAATTCCATTGATATAAAAATAAAAAAAATAAATTTATTACGTTTGAATAAAATATAGGGTTTCATTTGAATTCGAATTTCAAATGAAAATCGTTAAATTACACAAATTGAATGAATTCAATTAATTTTTTATATTAATATTTAAATATTTGATTTAATGAAATAATCTCATTTTACAAAGTTTTATGTGTTTCTGAAAATGATTTAGTATTAGAAAATTTGCGAAAATAAGATGGTTTTCGAGTAAAATGTATTCAAAGGACTATTAACGAAATCCGTGGTCTAAAGATAAGCGAGAAATAGAGTGATTCCACGACTATGAATATTCATTGGGACAAATACAAGGCTGCGGGAAATTTCTCGGAGATGCTTAAAATTCAATGCACTGAGACCTCGAGTGTGCGGAGGCAATGCCGAAAAGGAAGAAGAAGAGAAAAAAAAACAGAAGAAGGATAGAGCGAGAGAAGAATGAGTGGAAGCAAAATAAAGAAGAGGAATGGCGAAGAGTTAAAAATAAAATGAGACAGCAGTAATTGAAACGAATTAATTCATGAAATATTCTGTGAAAATTCATCGAGTTGGCTGCGAGCCTATGGGCAATGGCCTCTTGCCCTGGAATTGGATAATAAAGATTCTTATTACCATTGATTGCCTCCTTAAATGCAATTCTAACTCATAGTCTGTATCCTACGAGACTCGAATGCGAGACAAGAGAGGACGTGATGAGAAGCAAGAACAGAAAAATAATAATAAAATGAAACGAAGAAGAAGTGGAAACAACAACACGACCAGATTTTCGTTCCAGGCGCCAGATTTTTCGATTCGCGTAAACTTTCCCACAAACGCTGTTTTTTCTGTAGACGACGGAAAATAAACGGGATAAACCAGAAGCCTTTGTTAGTCTTCTCCTCATCTCTATCTCTGTTCATTTATTTTATATACATATTTTTTTTTCTACTCTGTGAAACGCAAATTGTTTACGCAACTAACCACCCAATAATACGTAAATGCAATGCGTAAGCACGCACCGTTGCGACAAAAGGATCAACAACATTGCAAACAAAGTGCGAACTTGCAATTTTTGACGTTTTAATTAATTAATGTAAACCGGTTTGCGCAAAAATTAATTAAACATTGAAATTGGAACAATAATTAGGGTATTGCCGGTGCGACAGGGTAAATTTAATTTAAATATTAAAGCTGTCTTTCTCTACATCTCGCTGTGCGCCTTTGCGGAGAGGATTATTTAAATGGGGGGATTCCCCTGGGTCGAGGCTACAGCTACAGGAGTAACAAAAACGAAGCAGTACTTTCTTGTACGACAAATCAGGATACTCATAATATGTGCATGTAGCTGCAGCAATTTGTCATGGACGAGCAACGATTGAAGTACTCGACGTAGAGAGAAAAAGGAGATAATAAATATCTGTATATGTAAGAATCATGAGTACAAAAATAAATGGAATAGAAGCGGCAGTAGCCTTGGGATTGTTTTAGTGCTTAACCGAAAACAGATTTAAACAATTAGCATTGGAGCAGAAGAGAAGAAAAAAATATGAAATAATCATACAGCACACGTCTTGCTTGAACTTGTCTCTTTGTCCTTGGCATGATTCGTTCCAGGAGAAGAAAAGGACAATCGATAGTGTATTAATAATTTCACAGCTAGCAAATTTCCATAAGAAAAGGAAGTGGTCCTCTTCTAAAAATATAAAATTTCTAAAAAAAAAACGCATAACCTAAATTAAGCATTACTTCACCTAAACCTAGTTGAAATGTACTTACAACCTTGACACGAAATACCCAAAATTATATATATATCAAGAGGTGAAACGCAAAACTCGAAGTGATTGCGCAAACCGAGCCTCTCCGATAAGTAACGTTTGAAATGCATGCCTTTCTATTATCTATAATGCAGTGTCAGTGCTACGTTACAAACATGCCTGATTGATAAGATCGGAATTGATTTCCCATTGCGAAATCTGACACAAAGAGATTATGTTGACACGCAATTGGAGCTATGCACATCTTTGCACTTTGTTTCTAGACGATGCGTTGTTCAAATACAGTGGAACTTCGCCTTACATAACGAGCATTTCGCTTAACGAGCAAAATGAACTGAAAGACTCTTTTAACGAACGACGTTTCGCATAACGATTGATGATGAGAAGAGAAGTCCCGGATTGCGCGTCTGCTACATCATTTTTAAAACTTGTGTACACGTGTCATGTGTATTTTTGTTTCACTATACGAGTAAAAATCCGGAAATTTTGGAACAGATTAAACTCGTTAAGCTATGTTCCACTGTATTTAGTTTACTTGAAAAAACGAAACGCAAATAACAGATTATTAATAATAATAATTAATGCAAACGGTGTTCTCTTGGAAAAACAAATTTATTAAAGCTGTTTTTTGCGTCAGTTTCTGTTTTTTTTTTATATAAAACTAACATTGTTTCGAAAAATTCGTTGTGCTTTTTCAATAATAATAATAATGTGCTTTATATGAAACAGCATGAATATTTTGAGCAAATATACATAGATTTAATAATAAATATACTATGTTGGGCGGATGTTTTGTGTTATAGTTACGATGTTGAAATAATTCATAATATTTGTTTGAATTTGACAAATGAAGAGAGTTATTGATTTAATGCAATTCTCTGCACAAATTGTGTTTCCTCTCGTGAATTTATTATAATGTATTAATAAAAACAAAGCAATATTTATATAATAATTTTGTAATAATTAAAACAATAAGCGGATTTGAAAAACATGCTCGAATGAATATTCCCAGTGAAAAGTGAATTTTGAATATTTGCAAATATTTTACATTAATTAAATAAATTTATTTTTACATTCAAAATTGAAGATTTTTAGTTCTACCATTTGATAAATTCAATACATTCAATACAAATGATAAATTCTTTGAATAGTAAAATTTTAATCAACTAATACAAATTACTTATAATAATATGGAATGTGAAATAGTTTAAATAATAAGTTTTTTAAAAAAAAAATTATATTTGCAAATAACAAATTTCTGAGTAAAAATATTATTTATAAATTGTAAAGAAATATATATGTATATAAAAATTTATTGACAACGAAAAAAAAAAGGCTACAGCAAAATCGGTATAGATAATAGAATATTCATGAAAACAGAAATGTTTTCATGCTGAATTCGGCCATGTCACAGTTTTATCGAATCAGTTGTGCCATTTTGAATGTGCTTTACACTTGGACGCAAAAAACAATAAATAAAAATAAAGTTCCCAATTTGTAATCATAGCGCGTTGATTACGTTAATCTGTCGACGATTTGGGGATTTTCAACAAACATCAAATATTATTATTTTTGAGATATCGTATATTATTATTATTTTTTTCTTCTTCGGATATAATCCTTAAAGGAGTCCAATAATATTTGTGCGGATCGAGAGAGGATGTTCAAAAGCCGCCTTCCTCATCCGACGATAAAGACTGATTGATTCATTTCTTCGGTGCCCTTTCGCTTCGATGCTTATTTAAAGCAAGCAAGGATTCTTTATCTGTAATTTATTTATGAAAGCCGGCCTCGTAGTATGTTCCCATTTACTTGGCTTGGAATTCAAAAGCATTCAAAAAGTTGCCGCGACAACAATACAAAAACTATTTTGTTTTTGTTATTTTTATTTTATTGTGATTTGGTTGTTGTAATTATTTTCTCTTTGCAATTATTGGAAATTCCATGAGCGCTGGCATTTCCCGTGTACTTTTTCCGGTTGCGGAAAGGTCAGAACAGTTGCAATTTGTATTTGTGCGTTTGAAGGAATCTTAAATGGCCAGTAACAGGTATAAATCTACCTGAGGTTTGTTGTATACCTGCCTGTACAGATATTTTCCCGTTATTGATGACAGGCAGTTACGAGAGAAGTAAAGGAGGACGAGGAGAAAACAAAACGCATAGTAGAGAAGGCATAGGTATTCGAGAAAGATTCGTGTTTGTTTACGAGTCTGTGCTTCTGTCGAGTTTAATTAGACTGATGGCATTGAATTGATCATGGGCAAACTGGGAATATCACTTGAAAAATTCTCACTTTGTAATTTATTATGATTATTGTTATAATTATTAATGTTGGATGGAATGGCTTTCTATGTCCTTGCCGATAAATGAAGTGGACAAATGGAAAACATGAATCGGACGAAGTGTTGCGGAGCGCACGAAGCCTATGAATAAACCGAGCACGTGTACTGTACTACTCTCATCCCATCCCGAAGTGACTTCCTAGAGGAGGTTGTCAGGCAAATTTTCAATGAAAATTTACACCGAAAGTAACTTACTTTTGGCGATGATCACATATTGTCGAGGGCTTCCACTCGGTCAAATGTTGCAACGGCAGCGACACATGTTTACGTCCACATCTTTGCGACTTGTTCGCTATTCGACGATGTTACAACGTTACTCACGTACGCACAGAACGTAGCAGCACCGCTATTGCAACCTTACTAACTGGTTTGGAATGGCTATGAACACTTGGCTTCCCATCCACGATACAAGAGTGTACTATCAGAGCACAGTTTGTGCGCATACTACGCTCCAACTCCTCCCTTTTCCAATCCGGCGGCGGGTCGCACACGGGACCCGCACTTCTTATCATCCAGACCAGAAGACAAAATCATCCCCAAAAAAAAACTCACTGACCATCCGTCAACCCCCCATGTTCGCAACCAACAAAAAATTAACGTCAACGACCAAAATAAAACGGTACAGAACACCAGGAAAATCCATCATACCGATTCAAAATCCTTGAGAGACAGAACGCGCGCGCACGCATCCTTTTCTGCAGATAACGCTCATTTGGCCGACGACCAAAAACTTTTGGAGAACAAGCGGCAGCTTTGTTTTTTTGGCAAAAATTACCAGTCGTCGACGTCGTCCAACTGAAAAACAACAAAAAAAAAATAACAGAAAGAGCACACTCACATCGAATAGAGCATAACAATAATAACACTAAACGAACACAGAAACGAGAGCCGTTTTACACGCTCAACAAGAAATGTTCACATCATTACGTAACTTAAAATGATAAAATTACTACTTTTAATGTTTGATACAGACATGGAAACTAAAAAATAAAAAAAACAATTTATAAAAACAGAGCGGAAAGAAGTTATTAGTTTTTAATTAATTAACAATTATAATTCTCTGTATTATTTATTTTTTCTATATACATCACGAGCAACGTGAATTGTAAGAAAAGTGACTACCTGCTACATCATTTTTAAAACTTGTGTAATTTGAATATGTTTCACGATACGAGTAAAAATCCGGAAATTTTGGAACGGATTAAACTCGTTAATAAATACTGTGGAATCTCACTGTATTTATTTGAATAGTGCAAAATGTAAAATTTAATAGGAAATATTAAACTGATAAATTTATAAACAACAATTTTATTTTACTAAATAATATTGTAAAAATATTCATTTGAAACAGGAAAATAAACAGAAGTTCAAAGTATTAATAAACAAGTAAATTTAATTTATTGGCTGATAAACAAATACATCAATTTGTTCCAATAATATTGAAATGCAATAATATTATTACGATTATAATTAACAAAAACATAATAATTTTAGCATTTATTACCAAATGAGTATGAAACATAGTTTTAACGCTAAATTATACATAAATTGTTTAATTTATTGCCTCAAAACAAATACATAAATCTAATTTTATGAACATTAATTTCCAACTTGTTTATTGTTTTTACATTTCTCTAAACTAATTATTGTGACTTTTATTATAAATAAATGGAGATGAAAAATAAATTGTTCATTAAATTACAAAATACAGTTTAATTTATATACTGAAAACGTATGCATAATTATCGATTTAATTATTATATAAAAAAAAATAAATACTATTATTTGGAGAGCAAAATTAATTTAATTTGCAAATAAATAATTTAATTGAATAACAGATTCATTATTTTTAATGATATATACATCCAAGTTGATGTAAATAAATAAAATTTATAATGAAATTTATATCAGTTCATTGACTTTATTGATTGATTCGGATTAAACTCTATTATTTGTTGATTTATATAAATAATTGCTAGTAAATCGGTTCAACTGAAGAAACGTGACGATAACGACAATAAACTTTGTGCAATAAATCAAAACTAAGGAATATATGGGTAATTAAAAGCAAACGACTCGGACGAATGTAATCGAAGTTAGAACATTGGCAAGAAGCAATCAATATTTCACGATCGGAAATCACATAAAACTGACTATTATTAGATTTATGTCATACTTTTACGTCATTTCTAAAAAACGTTTCAAAATTCGTTTTTTTTTTAAATTTTTGTCTTTGTAGTTAACTAATGGAATACTAATCAAAAAAAGTAAATAATTCAAATAAAAACTAAAAAATACATTGTAACCTAAGAAAAAGATGATCTAAGGCTCTAAGTGGAAATCCAAATAAATTATATAACTTTTTGGTATAATAATTTTTTAAAAATCTCAATCATAATATAAAATATTTGTGTTTTGTTATGGCTCAACAATACTCCGCATGCGGCTCGCGAGCTACAGTTTGGCCACCCCTGTTATATAATATAAAAAAGGTGTTTAATAAGAATCACTTGGTATACATGTTGTCAAATGTAATTGTTACTCCATCTGTTGGTAAAAATGTATAAACTTTTAAAATTGTTTTATTTAGGTGCAAACAAGTAGACATATTACATTTGTATTAAAAATGGACTTGAGGTTTTTGAATATATCATTTCCGGTGTTAAATTGTACGTTGAGTTATATAAATGCTTAAACGTTTAAATGAAAACCTGTGGAAACGTAATGAAATGAACTGGCAGCTTTAATAAATTGGAATGAATCAAGATCGAGAATGTAAATAAAATATGAAGGCAAAGCGGAACGTAATGGCAGCGAAACTGGTCTTGCGCCTGCAATTGGAGTTAATTAATAATACGCGCTCATTAATAAAACCGAAACTGAAAATGTTACTTGTTCGGTGGCAATGCCGACACTCGACTCGGGATCTCTGCAATGTTCAACTCTTGATTAACGCGACTTTGTGTGCTAATTGACAATGTCCATCCCTGAAGGAAGAATGCCAAAGCAGTATTTGCACAACGTCACACCTTCGTCGCGCTTATGTAAGATCAACAAGTTTTGAGGAACAAGTAGCAACAGCAACAACGTGATTGTTCTTGATGTTGATGTTTTTACAACCTGTGCCGTAGCGCGCAACAAATATCACATAACCGGTAAACTGGTTTTTACTCATTACAGAAGTTCGCGCCTCGTGCGCTTACGTAACAAAATTAATGTGGCAACGTCAATTTTGGTCGACCATTAAATAATAATAATGGAAAAATACAATGAAATACAATAAAAAAACATACACATACACACGTAAAGTATAGTCGATAAAAGTTCAATTTTCGTGCATGATAACCAGAGCAAATAAATCAAACTTATTGATTTTTGAAACGTAGTCTGTTAATTATTGCGGTTAGACTGATTTTCTTACATTGTACTAATTAATTACTGTTATTATTATTAACCGAACTACTCTAATTATAACTACTGTTATTGAATAATCTACATAATCTATCTATTTTCAAAGTAAATTTAACATTCAACATTACTTAAAAGTAAAGTCCTATTTCATTGCTTTAAGAAGGACAAAAAATTTAACCCAGAGAGGAAATATCAAATTCTAAGAAATTCTTTCAAGATAATTGTTAGGTCCTTTTTTTAGGTAGTTTTTCAAAATTTTACCTCTAATTAGGTCGTATCGTGGACCTTCCTTTCGTTGTAATATATAATTAAAGAAATTGATTTTTCTAAAATAAATACTAATTTCTTTTTAATTTGTCTGTGTCTGTAGAAAACAACTTTTATTATTTTTGAAACTTGAATAATTCTTTTTGTATGTTCTGTTGATATTTTGAACTTGAATAATACTTTATGAGAAATCAATACAAAATTGAGTTAACATTTGTAGTTTTTTTTTTGTTATTATTAAATCATATCTATAAAAAATCATTATACAGTGGAACCTCGCTTAACGAAGATTTCGCTTAACGAGCTATGTGAATTGTAAGAAAAATGACTTGCATAACGAGTGACGATAGGAAGGGAAGTCTGGAATACTTGTGTATTTTTGAATATCTGGACAATCAGGAAATTTTGAAACGGATTAAACTCGTTAAGCGAGGTTTCACTGTATTAAATTTGGTTATGTTTATATAGAAATTGAAAACTATGATAGTTGTGAAATCTGTTCATAAATAGTTTAAATATAAGTGATTGAAAACATTAATATCAGCGTTCTCCTTTTACGACAATCAAACCACTTCGCAAAGTGAATCCAGAGTGAGCGGCTCGTTAAAATGAATAATAAATGTGCAGCTTTTAACCAGAAGAACTGCCATAAAGTAGAAAAATAGTCAATAAATCAAAGCTACCAATAAAAAAAAATAAAAATAAATAAATGTTCGCTACGATTGGAAACGCAAATTGAGTGACGATAGAGGCTGATAATAATAATAATAATTTATAAAAAAAAATGGAATGCGATAACGTGTTAAGGTCGTCATAGATACAGCAGCATCCGTTTCGCAATAACAAGAAAAGAAAAAAAAATGTGGTTGCTTGCATCCTGAGATAGTAATAGCAAAATTGTAATTTTCTATCAACAAATGTATATGCTGTAAATCTTTCATTTGATCGACGTTTGTTTGTTGATAATTGAAGCGAAGAGAGAGTAAAATATGTTGTAGTGTGTGCAAATAAACAAATATGTATGAGTGGAAATAAATCGGTTTCGTTACGCAACTTCGGCTTCTACTGTCGCCGAGAGTGAGACGGGCCAGGACTATTTCGCATCGGGAATACTTTGGGTATCTATTTATCTAAGTGTAGCAACGTTAACCTGCATTTAGCAGGAGAGTTTATCTATTTTAACCCGACCTCAGTTCAGTCGACCTTAAATTTTTACGCGCTGCAAAAAAATAAAAATAAATGAGTTTTTTATTTCATTTTGTATAAAATAGTTCAAATACAGGTAACCTCCGACTTACGAGTAGCGTTCCAAAGGGTTGGTCGTAAGTCAAATTTGTTCGTAAGTCAAAATATACTTATCTTACCACAGTTTTTACTTTTATATACGTTAATTTCTGACTGCATAAATTTGAAAAAATAGGTTAAAATAAACAAAATACTTTTCAATGTAGACATCACAATTATTTAATAAAAAACGACAAAAGAAACAAATGTTACAAAACAGAAATTATCAATTTTTGTTTGGACAGTTAATTTTTTTTATCACTATATATCTCATTGTTAGAGCTTTTAGAATTTTGTTCGTAAGTCCGGGAGTTCGTAAGTCGGGATATTTTAATGTAATATTAGATTCAAAAGTAGTTTCGGGAAATTCCGCTATTGATATATTAACAAATATCTATAAATAATACAAAAAAAAAACTCACGCATATAAACAGTGGGATTTAGCATTTGGACTCTCGTGAAACACTAGACGATAATCATACAATAATGATACACAAGTCGTGGATTAGATAAGACAGCAAAAAGCGCGGCTCGTATTCAATTATCATTATATTTAATAACTATCTGTACGGAGAAGAGTTGCTGATAAAAAAAAATAATAATATGGAAAGAACATCGTTTGAACATTGCTCTGACAATAAATAGCCAGAGGATTATCATTCGCGTTGTGTAGAGTATCATTTCAAGTGAGAGAGAAACAAACAAGCGACTGGATTTTCCCCAACCACAAGCAACGTCGCTATCAACCGCAAAAGTGCAGTCTTCAAAAAAAAAATATAGCCTTCTTTAATTCATAAAGCATTTGCCTTGTCAATCGTCTTTGGAAATGACAAATAATGAGTTATATTAACTTATTCCAGAATAATTAATTACATCAACCAAAATTTAAAGTGGTAAGAATGAAAGATTTGTACGTGCACTTCAGTATTGGAGTTGGGAATTTTATATGGCTAATGTAGTTGCAGTATGGAAATGGTCGTCATTTCTTTTATGGAGAAAACTACTCTGATTATGCAAAGTCCTGCTTCAAACGCAGATCTATCTTCCAATTATTGCTGCTACTGCCCGAAGTACGTCCACTTGGGCAATTAATCCTCGAGTGGACCGAGAATGCTTTACCTAATAAGCTACTTAGGAAACCGGATCTCATGTGCCTCGGGAAACGATAGCTAAATAATAGCGAAGGCAATTGGTCACTCGAACATATCCCATTGCCCAGCAATTCGTCAATCCGCGGAGGCCGGGATAAATGCGCTCCGCGTTCCGCAACGGCGCTCGTTATATAAGCGTGCAGTTGGAAACGAAGCGAACCAATGACATATAGGATTTTTCGAAAAGTGAAAAACAAAATCATTATCCCGAGTGGCATTGAAAAGAAAAAGGAGAGACAAAGAGAGAGAAAAGAAGAATTGAGAACCGATAACAATAACCGATTTATTCGTTCGTTCTGTTGTAATTCAGTTCGCAGAAAGCAATAGCTTGTGTTTTTAACGAGAACTAATACCAATAAAATGGAACAGTTTCAAGATCCAATTCCAAAGATCTTAAAATTATTGTATGCTTACTAGTGGTTAAATTGAACGATTTTATAAAAAACATCCTGTATTGTAGTATCATACTACTAATTTGTAAAGCTTATTAATAATAATAATTATAAAACATAATTCTATATTTATTATTAAATTAAATTTTGTTAGTATAAAATCAAATATTGTTTTATATGTAAATAGAAATTTATAAAACAATGAAGCTAATACTATAGTATTTGGTGGAAAATCGTGGACTACTCGTAGTGATTAAATTGAACAGCAAACGTGGGAGTACGGTATGAAAGTTTCCAACTGGCTGGAGTAACGGAAAAAAGTATTATCCACGGTGGTAGGTTTCTTGTATGTGTGCATGTGATTCGGTCGAGGATTATTGATTGGGGTTTGTATTGGTTGTGTGGGGTCAGAGATGGCGAAAACAAATCGGTCTATTTAACTATTGGGAATCGGCTCTATGGAACGGCCCGAATGGAATTGGTGCGTCCGCTTCATTTGGCAAATAGGCAAGGGGAAGAACGGCTGCAACAGACAGAACCCTAACATCTGCTCCTAATTTCTTTCGACTCCAAACCTAAAATATCACCGAACGTGCGCCTAGGCTATTATCTCTTTCAATACTCCAGCTTCCCTAGCAAACAACAAAAGTCAGATTAACCATCCGGAATTAAAAATCTTTAAAGCTTATATCTATTGTTTCCTTTAAGATGAAAAACGATTGTCCTCTTATTAATAGCCTTTGGGTTCAATAACGTAGTTAGGAATAACTGTAATGTTTATGTTCTTAAACGGAACCAAAGTATTTATGAATGTTTGATGCGGAAGGATATTTCTTAGCGCTCAGTTTCGAGCAGTAAATCCCCAGCGCGTTAAGCCTTCGTGCAAACAGTTTAGGAAACACTTATCTATCCATTAATACCATTAAAATCTTCGCAATTTCCCAACCGTAATTTTATCAAACATTCAAGTTTAGTTCGGCTTAAAGATAGCTTCGGAGCAGGCTGCTAATTAACCCATTTATGTATTCCAACGAAAAACGTTAAAATAATGCATGGAAACTACAGATAACTGGAAATTATTACTCGTGTAATTCCCCGGACACGGCAAGATCAAATCTGGATGGAATCATCTGCGATGCCGTTTGTTTTGGAAAGTCCAAGGAGCAAACTATTGTGAAATCGTGGCGCGCGTTTATCGAGCGATATGATAGCAGTTTACGTCCTCTCTGGGAATTGGAATGAAGCACAGAATCAAATAAGAACATTTTTTTTTTATTTAAATTTAACTAGAATATAAAATGCATAAAACACTCTGAATGCATAAAACACTTTTGCAGTCTTGAAAATAGAATATTTATAAAAATATAGTACATATATATATTATCATCGGACTAATAAATAAATGCAGTTTAGGAATCTTTTTTAGTTACATAAGCATCGTTTACAATGTCCATGCATTTGACGGCGAAGTTGTTGTAGGAGAACAGGCGCTCCAGTCTTTCCAATCCGCATTTTCCCAACTCTTTGGTCCTCTGAGTATCAAGGATCTTTGCCATGCACTTTGCTAGACTGACACTGTTAGGTTGAGAAAGGAAACCGGTGACATTGTGTTCAATAGTTTCCTTGGGTCCACCGCTGTTGCAAGCAATCACGGGTTTCGCTGCGGCCATGGCTTCCAAAGGAACAATACCGAAATGCTCGTTTACAGGAGTATACATTAAGCAGTCACAGGACTTCAGCAAATCGGCTTTTAACTTATCGGAAGGCGACTTCAGGAATGTAATTTTAACAATTAGATCTTTGGCGTGCGTCAACTCAACAAGCTTCTTAAAGTAAATAGAGTTCAAGCCGTTTTGCGGATCGTATCCACCGGCGATTATCAAATGTACTCTGCTCCAATCATCATTGTCCAGTAATCCTCTCAGTTCGTCCATCGCTTCTATGGCTAACTCCAACATCTTAGCTGGATGATATCTATTGATTGATAAAAACACGACGTCGTCCGGTTTCCCTATCTGAATCTCTGGTGCAATCTGATGAATAGGTTTCTTGCTGGCCTTCTTAATATCAGTCAGAAAAGACGACGCAATTGTGGGATAAACAATCTTGATCGGATTTTTAATTTGAGGGAATGTACGTCTAAACACTGCAGCAGTGTATTCACTGTTCACCAAGATGAAGTCTGCGGATTTGGTACCATACATCTCAATCCAATTTATTGGTTTCCTGTATAGCCTTTTCAGGAAACCTCCCGGTGTGCTGGCTAGGAGATCTGGATGATGACAATAGTATATGACTTTCCTTCCAGTCCATTTCAATATGGGTACAGCCATTGGGATTTGATCCACAAAATAAATATCTGGTGAATCTGAATCGAATGGCAACAGAATGTAATGAAACATGGCCAAATACAACATCCTGAGATAGGCAAAGAACGCCTTGAAAGCACCAAAAACTCCACGGGGCATCCAGTCACCAAACACCTTTACAGGAAACCTATCCGTTTTGAGTTCCTCAAATGCATGACCCTTATCAAAGTGGTTGGTTAAGAAATGCACCTGTACACCTTGGTCAGCCACAGCGACAGCAACGTCTAAAACCAAACGTTCTGCGCCACCAATCCCCAAATCCGGGTGCACAAATGCAAGCTTTAAATTATTTAGCTTAACCTTAAAAAAATACAATATGTTTTAGTAAACCTATTAAACGAATATGATTACAATTACCATTGCTGAAGATTTTATACTAGGTTTATATTCTATAGGCAGATATTAAATATGACTAGCAACTTCCGAAAAATACTTTATCACATTTTACAAAAGCTACTGCATCTCGGCACGTAACGTTTTGTTTTTCCAATTACGACCTAGCGCCATCTGCAGATCATATTATAAGATACGCCATCTGTGCTAGAAGTCTGGAAACAATTGATCAGTTATAAAACAGGATACGGTACATTCTCAGTATAGGCCACTAAACATGCACATATTTATATAATTTTAGTCAGCTTAATTATAATAGGAATTATAAATAGGATAATGTGATTATTTCAATACATAATATGTAAAAAAAAGTTTTCTTTGAAATTAAATTACTTGATACTATATAGTATATATAAAACATATAATAGGAAGATGTTTTATGATTGCATGAAAAGTTACTTAGTAAATATTAATCAGAAAATAAATGAAAATGTAATTGAATATAAAGTGGTTAGTTTATTTAACAATTTATTTATTAAATATTTTATTTAGCTATCAATCAATATATGCATACGGTGATTTTGATATGTATTTTCAATACTTACGAAATTGTATATTATGTGATATTTTTATTATGCACGATTTATGGGTTATATATTTAGATCTATCATATTAGAAGCACTTGAGGAAAATGTGAGTGGTTTAACGTAATAAACTAAAATGGAGTGAATTTCTAGGTTTCCAATAAAGAGGATTTATTATTTCAAATATACATCACAGAAATAGTATATAGAAGTAGAAACGATAAAGAATTATTATCTTAACATATCTAAACATGAATAACACTTATTACTTCAGTTTACTCGTATTTTTTTATATATATATATAATATAGAATTCCATTTACATATCGATAAGAAAAGATGTTGATGCTTTCTGAGTGTTAGAGCGTACAAAGAGCAATATGATAGAGAGATTAAATGAATACGTAAGAAAAAATATCACAATGGTATAAATAAATGTAATACAGTAGGCAACTCAAGTAAAAATTCCGTGGGTCACGGATAGACGCACGAATCTCGAAGACAATAGAAACCATCGCATTTTCTGAACTTTTCCTCTCTAAATATACTCCAATATATATACCTATATATTTTATAATTTTCTTATATTCTTTTTTTTTCGTATTTCTTTATATCTTAACAAATTGTAGTGGTCTTTGAATAACATACGCATTTACGCACCATCCATAATCCATGCATGCAATCGACGTGTGCGCTAGTGCGAAGGTACACAGGAGTATTTTTTCATTTTCCACCTCGATTTCCTTCATTCCTACGTTATTGCTCAAGCGAGAGTCCTACAATACTCGAAACGAGAGAAAGAAAAACAAGCGTTCGCTAAATTGATTTGTTCTTTGTTGTTTTCCATTTTGGTCCTGCTTTCAGGTCATCTTTCATTTGTGTGTGTGTATTGAGTCCGATCAATTATCAATTTGACAAGAGTAAATCGGAATGGAGCGTCTAAGAGAAAGAGAAAGATAAACGGAAGAAAGCGGTTCTTATTCATACTTGGTCCAGAAGAAAGATATGGAATCATTAGTATTTCCGTTCATCTAGGAGCGCTTATTATCTATCTTTCGACTTCCTCTTTTTTTTTTGTATTGGATCTTTGTTCTGTTCTGTTTTCATCTTGTTAATGTGTTATATAAATGAGACTAGAAAAAAATAAACGATCTACGATTGTCGCTAAAAACTTGTTGACTTTCCTACTCTTTTCCTGCGGTCCCCAAGTTCTACCGCTAATTGCTTTGTTATTTCTAATGAGTGAAGAACAACACGGGAGGGGTGAGAAAGTGTGCGCGCGCGTAATGATTTATTCTAGTAGGAAAAAGTATGGAAAGCACTTCCGTTGAGAGATTATCATTGCATTTCAGTTCCTAAAAGTACGTAAAAGTGTCGCAAGTGCCAGAGCAGCTCGCACCTTGACGTTGCGGCACTTTTATTTAAAGTTACACAAACATCTTTGACATTACGCGAAATTTGCTCCGATGCTGTTCCTACCTCTAAATATACTTATAAATACAAATATATATTTATATGTAAGAATTTTCCTGTTTTACATCAAGTCTTCTATGTGTATTAGGCTAATGCAGCAATTGAAGAAAAACAATTCCCGTACATCTAGAACTAAAGACTTTCTTGGAGGGGGTTGGGAACATGTGTGCGTAGGGTTTGGGGTAGGGACAATACCATCATTATAATGTTTAAGATGTAGAATCCTTAGAAGTGATCATCATCGGACGAATCCAAGTGGGATTCGGCTAGAGACGACTGCTTCGACAGCGACTGTAATTAATGCAACAGAGGGAATGTAGTAACATCAAGAATTAAAATATTGGTGCACGCAAGCAATGCTTTTATCGAGCAACTGAACAAGGGAAAACTTGGGGCCCAAAAGAAAAACAATAACGGCAGTAAACATACTTGGGGCGGCGAAATCTTCTCCTCCATCGCTCCGTAAATATTAGAGAGCCGGATGATTTCGTGTGCTCTACTAAACATACAAAACAAGCGACGAGGCATGCAGGTAGAAGGCAGATTGGGTGTGTTCGGAAAATGTGCACTTCGATTACACCAACGATATCGATGTTGAAAAGGGGTGGCTGAGGAATGCGTGATAACAAAGATATTTTGTTTTTTTTTTCTTACATACACTTCGCATCGATAAAAGAAAACAGTCCGCCTGTGCAACATAATGTTATCATAACAATAGAGACGCGATCATCCCTTAAAGCGTTAATAAATTGAATTCGGGAACGTGCGGTAATAGAGAGGGCAAGGGCGGACGCAATTACGCAGCAGGATTCGGTTGGAATTTTAATTGAAATCGCGGGTAAAAGAAACAAAGGATGTTTTCGAACCTGGTGGAGCTTACGCCTCGGAGGAGACCGCTTGTTCCAAAGGGCCTCGAGCTGATCGAAATGCTGAGATTGCGCTAAGGAGCCCTGCTTGTTTGGTAATCCCGGCTGTAAAAATAAAAAACAAAGAATTTTTAATTAATTAACCAGCGGCAAGGCGACTCTATCCAACCTGTCCATCCTTCTGGGGTATCTTAGAGATCTCCTCCATGCTGGCGGATACGGAGAAACGTCGCTTGAACCTCTCATCCACCGCCGGAATAACCAGATTTGAAGTGAGATGAGCGTATTTCTTCTGCCATGTGTACGTGTCCAATGACACCTCTTTCTTGAGCAGTCGTCGCATCTGCCGCTTCGGAGCTGGCTTTGGATCTGCAAAGTCTCAATGACAACAAATGTTTCCAAATCAAAAAGACATCTTACTATCGATGATGTCTTTGTCTGGAGCGCAGTAGGTGGGTAATTTAACGTATTTGGCCGGCGTGTTGTGCAGACAGATAATGGGCATGTATTGGGTGTCTTTCAGAAGCACGGATATACGCGAGAAGTCTGAAGACGTCTCCACTTGAAGAATGGGTAGATGCATCTGCAAGGATGTTAACGGCAGTCCGCGCTTGGTGTCCCATATGATCAAACTCTTATCATCGGAACCTGGAATTACGTTATTTGCAATGGACGGGTGTGGGTAAGCACTGTAAGCGCTCACCGGAAATTGCGATGCTGCCATCCCCTGAGCACTTCACGCACGTGATGTAACTCAGGTGAGCTGACAGGGTGTGCACGTCGGCCCCGGTGTTAATATCCCAAACGATTAAATTGCTATCGCACGAGCCCGATATGATTAAGCTCTTATCGGCTACGGAAACGGCTACGCAGGTAACCGCATCGGTGTGACCTATCAACACCTGCAGAAGAACAAAGAGCAAAATCATCATTCAATCATACCCTTTTATCTGGGTCATCTAGGTATGCTCTACGGACCTGTGATAGCTTTCCACCTGAGACCTGCCACACTTTGAGCGACATGTCGCGCGATCCTGTAATTACGTGCAGCGAATCCATTGTCAGCACGAAGCACGTAATCTCCTCGGAATGGCCGACGTGGAACTTTTCGTCGTCTTTAATCAGTGACCAGATTTTCAAAGTGTTATCCGCGTTCGTGCAAAGCTGAAAACCAGACCGTACATTCAGCCAGTGAATCTACACCATTAAACCCCTTACTAATTGCAACTAAAGTTTTAAAATGTTTACAAACATTTACGATCGTTTCAATAAAGACAAACTTATTACTATTTAAAAACATTTGCTCATAATAAAAAAAAAACTATTAATAAATAGTTCTAGTGAATCTTTATTACTCGAATTTCGAATTGAAATTTCTACACTGACTCTGACCAGTTTCGCTTTACGCAAGTAAAAGTTAAATTGCACTTTAATAATAAATTTTAACGACTACGGCGAAGCTGAATATATGATGCGTTTCATTATTATGACGAGTGTGCGGTTAAAGCTTTTGAGTTACATTGGTAATTCTATAAAACATCATTTATTTGTTATTCAGTTTTATGTTTGAATTAATAATAAATGAATAGGAATAGTATTTACGCTGAGTAAATGTTAAAGGTAATTCGATTCTATTTTCTAAACTCATGTTCAACCCTATATAAACTATGATACTTGAATAGAAAAAAATTAACAAGATTTGAAACTTTGAAAATATAGGTTTTATAAAAGATTAATATTAATATATAGGATAAGTGTAATGTTTGAAATTGGATGTTAACATACAGCGTATTTCATGTTGTTTGTAACGTCGACGTAGTTGCTGGGACCTGTGTAGGAATGTAGCAAATTTCCATTATCCGCCAGCCAAATGCATAAAGTATCGTTGCGATCACTGGATATGATCCTAGAGGAGTCCATCATGACGTGGACTGTTATGACAGGTGCCTGGTGTCCCTGTGAAATGTAAAAAGCGAATAGGTGCAAAAGGGGAATTGACGTAACAAAAGCGCTTGTATACCTTGAATGTCGACACCAGGGATCCAAGCGTTAAACCCCAGACTTTGACGGTTTTGTCTTCCGAAGCGGATGCGACAAACAGGCTGCTCGGTGCAAAAGAAACAGCCGTAACTGACCCGGAGTGAGAGTTCAATGTCAAGATCAGTTCGTGCGAGTTCAATTGCCAAATGTTTATTAGGTGGTCAGTCGCACCTGTAGCAGCTAAAAGGCCGTCCCGGGAGACATCGATGCAAGTAAGGTAACCGGTGTGCGGCAGCAAATGATGCTGTGACTTTTTGTTTAGCTTAAGCAAACTCTTCACGGTGTCATCGCTTCTGAATGGATAAAAGTGCACCCTATTTCCACCTAAAAGCGAGACGTGAGAATGCTTCTATACAACAAACTTAACTAGACTAGTGAACAAAGTGCGGAATCACAATTCTACCTGCTGTGAGTAGAAAGTCGTCTTTCTCGGTGACCCGGACGGCGCTGACTTCTCCATTCTGACCGGTCAGCGTCTTCGCCAGTTTCCCGCTGTGGACGTCGTAAATGTAAACTCGGCCATCGGAACATCCCACGACAGCCCTACAACTGTCTTGGGTCAAACACACGGACTTCACCTGAAAACCGAATTACACAGGCTTGACGACGCTGGACAAAGGGTCTCTCCTCTGAAATTAATTACCCTCGACTTGTGCTCGGCGAGGGAGTGCAGTTCCGTCCCAGTTGCCAGCGTCCTTAGATGCAAGTTGTTATCCATGCATGAAGCTAACAGGAAGACCGAATCACTGGAAACGTCTATCATGCGAACACCGGATTGCAGGGAAATCGTATTCAGGATGGTGAAATCCTCCAACGACCATAAGCAAACATTGCCGTCCTGACTACCAGACACTAGAATATCCCCAGCGGATGTGACCTTGACGGAAGTCACCGGTCCTCGGTGGTGATCAATTTTCATCACCTAATTACAAAGCCCTTCCTTATTGCGATCCCTAAACGAATATTTTTCTATGCCCTTTCACTCACCAATTTACCGTTTCCCAGAGATGTCACGATGATGCTGCTGTCGTCTCCACCGCTGACAATGACAGAGTTATTAAGGGCGCTCGTTATACACAGCACCGGAGCGATATGCTCGAAGATACGCAGGGTCATTGTTAGGGCCCTCAGGTCCCACACAATAATACTGGTATCCTCGGATCCGGTCAGCAAATACTGCGACTGCCTAGTTACCGCCATACAAATCACCTTCCCACTATGACCTGCGAAGCAACGAACGCAAAAAGAGACATATGAAGCGAGAAACCCGACAGCCATTAACGACCGTCCCAGGGAAACCGAGGAAAAATATTGTCGCTCGTTTCCCCATCTAGATATTGCTTATGATATATTCAAATCTCCGGCGAATTATATAATAATGCAGACGTATAGCTGTTACACGCAGTTCGTCCCGTCTAGAATAAGCAACGCTCCATAGATTTGCATAAATTTTAACCTCCCCACAGCACGTATATATGTGTATACCTTTTCACTCCGCACTCTGACTTACAGCCATAACAATTTCCAAGATTAAATCTTAAAAGTGTGGAAAAAAATCAATGTACGTTACAGCAAAATAAAAATATCATTAACCGTTATCTTAATAGCAGTTCATTAACGAACCGATTAAATATTGCACATGGAAATAAAAAA